AGACATAACACACCACTCTCCTACTCATCACTATACTCATGTGCACACCTATCAAAAGCCGCCAGGGGTAAGCCCAAACTCGTCAGCGGGAGTACAGTCGTGCCGAGGTGCAACATCAACGGTCACGACCCATCAACTAGGTTAAAATGAGTCTACCTATCACAAGGTTGGAGATCGCCCACCACTAGGCACCGTCTCATGACTCACACATACATTCATAGGCACTTAGTATAAAAATCTTACCTCAATTATAACATAGCAAATTTTAGATTAAAACCCACCTGGAAATCGAGGTAGAATATCACACAAAAGCAAGTTCGTAGGTCGAAGGCTCGACTTCTCAAACACCTACATTTAAGCGAGATAATATATCAATAATCTATCTCACTAATTGAATTTAACATAAAACCCATACTTAATAAAATTTAAGATTTAAAGGTTTTTATAGGATTTTTCGTGGACTTGGAACTCTCTAATTTAAAAGGAAAGAGACTCGGAAAAGGCAATGGGTTCTCGAGACTTAAAAATATTTTCTCCAAATTTTTATCATTTTAAAATAATTTTTGAATTTGAAATCGATACGAAAAACGACTTCTGGAACTCAAAATCAGACTAAAAAGTCGAGATGGGCCGCCTGTCCAAACACTGGCCACAAACTGCCAGCAATTTGGGCCTCTCACGTGCTAATGGGCTGCGGCTGAGGTAAAGGCAGCCCAACACGCGGCCCGCTACAAGGCTGGAAGGAGGGTGGGCTTCTCGGGCTGGATGAACGGGCTGATCGGGCTGCTGTTGGAGAGAGGGGACGGGCTGCGCGCGGGCTGCGTTCGGGCCATATGGCCCGCGCGCTGAAGTAGCCTTTAATAATAAAAAAAATGAAATTTTTTGCAAAGGCTGGGATCGAACCCCTGACAACCCACACAAACATGCGCATAGCTCACCACTGCGCCACTCGCTCAATCGCACAATATTATGCAACCAAAACATAATGAATTTTCAAAATGAGGCCTGTAACTGGGAAATAAACGTACAGAGTCTGGGACTAACTATATCACACTACACCAAAAACAGCTAAGTGAAAACAACACTGGGGCTGAAATCGACGACCAAATTTGACGACAAGATATCTAACGGCAACGAGATTCGAGAGTTTATCAAAAATAACATATTTTTAGAGTTTCGAAACATATTTTTTAACAACAGTTTTTGGCTTGAAAATGGAACAACCAAAATAAAAGCAAAATGAACGATCGGGGGTTCGAACGACCCGAACAACTTAACGACGGCTCAAAATAGCGAAACAAGACTCCGAATTTATGCAAAACAGTCACAGCAACATTATGGTATTTACTTTTACAGAATCGAGAGTTCCAATAATCCCCAAATAATCCTCGAACATATGAAATACATAACGAACATATGAAATACATAACGAACATACGAATAATCAATTAAACCGATCTCAATAAAGAATTCCATCGACGAGCACGATATATGAGTAAACGTACAACATCAAACCGAATTGAAATTTACGAGAGAGTTTCGAAAGATTTTTACCCGACTTCGGGAAATAGACGAGCTTGGGTGGGTTAAGGGACCAAACGAATAGAATTCAAACGAGCGGGTCCAAAACTTCAAAATTCCTCGAGAACCCGAACTGAAATTCGAAGAACAGCTCGCGAATTGGACTGCTAAGGGTCGGCGACGGTGGAGCTGCTAGACGGGGCTTGCCGGAAAGGAAGAGGGTCGGGTTTGCTGGCGTCTTGCGAAGGAATCGCTGGATCGACGGACTGAAAGCTCGAGGTCGGCAACGTGCTGCGACGTAAGGATGCCGGTTTTCGGGCTTCGCTCGCCGGGAATAATGGCGGAGGTCTTACAGGCGGCGATAACAATTTTTTTTTTGAAAGTAGCGAGAACAGAGAGATCGAGAGATGATGGAGAGTCGAGTTGCTGCAACTGATATAGGCGAGAGGGAGAGATCGAGGGAGGACATGCGTGGAGGATTTCCCACAAAATCACAACAGATTTGATCCAACGAGGAAGACTCGGTCGCGATGAGAGAAGAAGGTAAAAACAAAATATATCTGATTGGACATTGAACGAGAACAATTAATATGGGCTCAATTAAAATGGACCGAACATTTTTAATCTCCAAGTGGATCAAGGATTTTAAATTGGGCCAAAATGATGAATAGGAATTTGGGCTGGAATTAATCTCAAGCTCGATAAGAAAACACGACAACACGAA